TGCAACTTGTTGACAATCATGTTAACAACTTGCAACAGTACTGATGGTTGAACAACTTGTTAACAATATTGTTCACGGGGTGCAGCACAACATTGTTCACTCCTGTTTGAACAACGCCGAACAACCTGATCAATTTTTACCCGTGTAAAGGCCGTTTTCCACTAGGCGAATTTGTTCGCGCGACGCGAAGCGAAAACCGAAATCCGGCAACGTGATTGGTCGGCGAAAAAATTCGCGGCGAAAAAGTAGGATCGCTTCCTACTTTTTATCTGTTCGCGCGAACAAATTCGCCTAGTGGAAAACGGCCTTAAAAGTCCAAGATGACCTGACGTGAGCAGTTGCTCGCGCCATTGTGCGTGTTCTATTATACAAATAATGAATGTTTATGAGTGCAATGGTAAGAATTATAAATAAAGAATATTTTCATTCGGTGAAAGATGGAATGTTCCATTCGATGAGGCGACAGCCGAGTTGAATGGAACATTCCATCTTTCACCGAATGAAAATATTCTTACCATTGCACGAATAAAAACATTCATTATTTGTTTTATATAATACCAAAATAGACTAATAAAAAGGTTTACTGTAAGCTCCCGCCATTTTGACGAGTCCGTATTTGCATTAAATCCCATCTACTGAGTTTCGAATATCGGGTTAAAATAAACTGCGATCACCGTACGAGAAGCATTTTGACGGATGCGATTTATCGAAAACACAAAGAGTGCAATGGAATAAAACGTATAGTGCAATTGCACTCGCAAGAGTGCAATGGAACCTGGACGTATTCCATTGCACTCTTGGGAAATGGAATTTTCTATTCAATATCACGTGATCATAAACAGCCAATTAAACGATCAGAATTCAATAAGGTATTATATAAAGCGTTTTATGTCAATTCCTAACGTCATTAGAATTTTCCATTTTAGAAAAACAATGTGTTGTATCTCTTTATTTTGTCTGGTGACCTATGTTCAAATTTTGCATGCTGTATTGCACCGCTAAAAACTTTCATTTTACAAAAAATAAAAAAATTCTGTAATGCCAAAAAAAATTTACCGAAGAATATGACATTTTCGCATTTTCCAAAAAAATGACATTACAGAATTTTTTTATATTTTGCAAATTGTCAGCTGTTCGTCCAAGTAAAATAATGCACGAAAAAAATTGGGGGTCACCATGCTTCTTTTCCAACTATACGAGACGAAAGGCCATTTTGGAGTTAATTTCGTACACGTATGTCGTCATAACAACGAACTATCTGTTACTAAAACTCAGTGGCGTGCTGGGTACTATTTTTCTGGAGGGGCCAGTGGGCTGTCAGCCAATATGCGCCCCTATAATGTTACACTTGATAAACGAGGGCCGAAGGCACGAGCCGAGTGCCGCAGGTGCGAGGTTTGTCTAGGGGGGTCCGGGGGTATGCCCCCCAGGAAAATTTTTGAATTTAGAGTCTCTGAAATGCCATTTCCTGGACTTTGGGGGTAGATTTGACAGAAATCTGATGGTCAGGAAACGGCATTATAACGTGTCGAAATTTGCAATTTGGTTAGAATTTGTGAGTAGTACTTAAATTATGCAATGCTAACTACTTCCAGCGATTAATCTAATCCCAATTCTGTTCTCTACTGATCTACTGTTCTGAGCACATTTACAACTTAAAGCTCTTTTATACAATAACACACGCACCCCACGCACATGTATTTTAAGGTTTCTTTGCCTGGCTGCCAAAAGGGCATGTTTCAGCATTATTTCATTACTTACATTACTCATGCTTCTTGTGCAAACGACTAAATCGCGTACACAACTTTACATCAGTTATCATAACTTCAACTATCTAATTTGCGCCGCTCTCGTGATTCGTGAAGCATAATTCTCGTGACCATAAGGGCATAATTCTCGTGATCGCTTCGATTGAAACCTGACCAATATTCCGGTAATGAGACATTGCCTGTGATCACTGATCATGTTTCTATATGAACGATTTCGTGTGAGCTGTGAGGTAGCAAATACGGTTAGGCAAAATAGTCTGTAATTTAATATATGTCGCCAATGCGCTTCGTCTGTTTTATACTGTAGCCTATAAACACGTCTTTTCTTGGCGGAAGTAACCATATTTTTTCGAGAATGCATTTTTTCCGACCCACTTTCAAAATTCGGCGCCCCTTTTTCATTTTTGCGCCCCCCAAGAATTGCCAACTGGGGGGGGGGGGCGTGGCCCCCCGGCCCCCCCTGCCAGCACGCCACTGCTAAAACTAATATAATTTGAAAGTAGAGTGATCAAGATATATAAAAACCCCAATATCTGCTGAATAAATCCTAAAAATGCGTAGTTTGAACATGTCAAAGTGTTAAACACCTGAATTTTTGAAAACTGTATCGAGCCACCTTAAGCTATATATATACTGCTTGGAAATTAAGACATAGAACAAAAGGTGGTCATATGATGGCAAGCTACAGTAAGTCCCCCCCCCTTAAGTAACCCCTAGACGAGTTTAGGTTTTTGTCGAGGGTCGAGTGTCGAGGGTCCAATGTCGAGGGTGAGGGTAAAAAGTCGAGGGTGAGGGTAAAAAGTCGAGGGTCGTAAAAAAAGTCGAGGGTTGTATTTTTACGACAACTTAGACAACTACTAACGATAAAAGAGTTTTTAAAACGGCGTTTCTCCTTATGTAAATCATGAATTAAGGGAGAATTCTGGTCTAGAAACTAACTGAGACAAGTAATATTGACTGAATCATTTAGAGTTAATTGGTATCTAGTTGAAACAGTGGCATGTCTGCACCGCGCTAACCGCCGGCTCCGATCTAGCAGAAAACCACACAAGTTTTTTTATCATAACTTGCTATTGGTAATATATTTTGCCTTAATGTATTGCCATTACTGGCTTGAGGATTACAGCTGCCCGATAATCTATGCTGTTACGTTAATTTGATAAGAAAGCAAAGAGACCGTTCTCATATTAGACATAAACATGTTAACTTGCGAGCGTGAAGGGGCTTAGAAAATAATCGCTTAGAAACTTTACGCAAGGTGGTATCTTTTAAAAGTTAATGTAGTTCTGCATACATATATATGATAAGTCCATGTCACAACGTTAAACAAGTTATTTTGCCCACAAATTTCGACCCTCGACTTTTTTTGACCCTCGACTTTTTTTGACCCTCGACTTTTTACCCTCACCCTCGACTTTTTACCCTCACCCTCGACATTGGACCCTCGACACTCGACCCTCGACAAAAACCTAAACTCCTGTTCCCCTAAGGAGAAAAAGCTTAAGAATAGAGAGCCTGAGTCCTTACAAGCTAAGTGAATTACATTAACACAACATTCATAATGTGTCATGCAGCTTTGTATTAGGCGGAATGTTGGTAAAACTGTTATAAGTAAGAGTTGGCGTCTCTGTTTCCCAAAAGGAGAAGAGGTTATTAATATAACAAATTAGGATTTTTGGCATCTCGCTCGATAGATCTAATTGTAGGCGGACATTTTCTAATGTAAATGTTATACATTTATTAGACAAAAATAGGAGAGTTGCGAAAAATGCAACTATATAGGCCCTCTGGCAGGCCAGATTTCGTGTAGCCTCCGATAGTCATTGAACATTATGAAAACAATGATTTCATCATTTTTACATTCTTATTAATATACACGGACCGGGGATCTCTCTATTACCGCAGGTTTTTTTCCCAAATATTAAAATGTGACCGAGATATAGAAAAATATGTTATAACGACCGATTCTTTTGCCGCGAAAGTTGTAATTGTAATCGACAATATGCGGATAGATGTGATACTCGATACCGGATGTGTGACCTTCAACCTCGATTATGTCGTCCTGGTGCATGTTAAGTATTCTGTGCACCACAAACATTTC